AGAGAGAGAGAGAGAGAGAGAGAGAGAGAGAGAGAGAGAGAGAGAGAATAAGTGGGTGAGGGGCAGAGAGAGAGGGAGACACAAAATCAGAAGCAGGTTCCAGGCTCTGAGCTCTCAGCACAGAGCGCTACATGGGGCTCGAACTTGTGAACTGTGAGATCATGACCTGAACTTAACTCACTGAGCCACCCAGGTGCCCCAAGTTTCTCTTATTTTTACTGCACAAAATTCAACCACAATTTGTGGCCCATATCTAGTTTACCTATAATTGTATCTTATTTGTCACAACCCAGTTTTATAATATGTTAATTTTTAACCTCTTGTGTATATATTATCTTTGAAAAATATATGATAAAAATAATAACTATAACTTGAAGAATTCATCATTAATTTCTTGTGACAGATTCTTATGTTGTGCTAAGGGTTGCAATAACCACCTATGCTCAACATTAAACATAACTTCCCCACCCATCTTTAGAAGTACTTAAAGCCATTGTGACCCAAGATGATATCAGTCTGTAAGTATTTGTGGTCTACATAACAGGTGGAGGATTGTGAAGTTTAGGATTGAGGGAGATGATAGAAAAGAATTAGGGAAAGAGCCTGGGAAGATGACATCCATTTTGAAGGAGAAAGTGATTATTTCTTGTGAAACAGAAGATAAAAAGGATAGAAGTAAAGATAAAGATATTTTAATGTGGACAGAATGTGAGAAGGAATAGGCAAGTGATGGCTCAGTACTTTCAGTAAAGGGAGAAATAAGAGGGGAATTTTAAGTTATCTTCATGAAAAGGGAGGGATAAGGTTAGTTCTGATATGAAGAGCTCCAGTGGGGCGAGAGGAGTGAATAAAAGACTAACAAAAAAGTAGGGAAATAGGTCATTTCAACAGTTCAACAAATTTCTCTGAGTACTACTATGTTATGATACTGTGTAGGCACAGGGTCAGAGAAGATATAATCCCTTTCCTTGTGGTTGTCCCTCTAAATGGGAAAGCCACCACCAGGGCCCTGTTGAAAGGATATGAACATGAAACATTAGCATAATAACACGATGATCTTCAGCAATGCTTGCTGGACTCTGCAGGAGAGGAGGTGGATTGGGGGCTGTGAAGATTCAGATTTACTAACAACCTGATAAGAATATTCAAGGCACCACTGGTGAACATGATGTCCACACTAGGAAAAGAGATATGTAAGGTAAGGGAAAGCACTGCTCCTGTAGGGAGGGAGTACTGTGGGCATCAGGAAAGGCAGTGCCAACTTTAAGGGAGCCCTCAAGTGATCCTTCAAGTGATAAGAGGCCTCCCAGTTAAGTCCTATTGGTGGGTCACTGAGACAGTGAGGAGGGACATGGATGAGTAAAAAGTGTTATAAAGATGTAATAAGGGCTTATGCATGTCATAATATGATTAAACAAATAGGAAGTATACAGGAGTTATGAGGAGTTGGATCCCCACAAATCTAAGAAAGACCAAGTCATATTAGGTCCAGCTCATCCAGGAAAGTCTCGAAGTACAGGGATTCTGATCCTGAAATCACCTCCGTTTACCTTGGTTTATCTTTTTGAGACACTTAGTTGCTTCTGAGAGGACTTGCTATGAAGATTCCTTTCCTTTTTTTAGCTCTTCTTTTCTTTGGCCTGTTATCTGCCTCAGGTAAGACTTTAGCAATAATTAGGGAAAAGCTAATACAAATGAGAAGGCTCAATGTAATGACACAACAACCATTCGTTGGTAATGGTACATTGTAGGTGCTCAAGAATGTTTTGAATGAATGAATCATTGTTTCTTTATGAATGACCCTGGAAATAGAAAAGAATTTGGAGAATTCCAGGGTTCGCTTTCTATGTCATACTAAATTTCACATCTCAGCTATGAAATAGAATCTTAGATTATTTCCAAGAAAAAGAATTTATAGATTTATCTGTTTTGCCAAATGATTTTACAAAATGATTTTGAAACCTTGAACTCAGGTCTTCTAACTCCCAGAACACCATGTACATTTTATTTCCACTGTCATGTTTCTCTACTATTTTGAGGAAAGTACAAATAGTATCCATTTTGTAGAGTTTTATTGTGAGACTTAACTGTGTTAATCTATGTTAAGGGCTTTTAAGAAGTACGTGACAAATAGTAAGTGCTCAAGAAACATT